AAAAAAAAAAAAAAAAAAAAAAGACGAAAAATTGCCTTCGTAGTAATGGGCTAGTTTCGAAATGTGATGCTTTGGTGGTTGGATCATTTGGAGGGGACGGGGGTTCATTGGCAACTATCACTGGTGGCGTGGGCGTACTTTCCTCCTCACGGCTCAAATAGCCAACCCAGGCAAGTTCGAGCAACGAGCAGAAGACAAATGTCATGCAACTAAGCATCCAAACATCGATAGCCTGAATTAGCGGTGTTCATTATCCTCATAACTCTATAAAAATTGAGCTTTTTCGAGGGTGATGGCAAACTGTGATCCACCGTTCATCTAAAGGCTTCAGAAATTGGCTTTCAAGCTGTTTTTATGTGGCTGTACAGTTCAGTTATGCTTCAACGTCTGCTTATCGCTTTTACAGCGATAGGTCAATCTGCTGATTTAATTTCTAAGGTATACCACCTAGTTGACTGTAATCTGCTAATGCGGATAACATTAGTTTTGAGTTATAAAAACAAGGAAGTTTTTATTGTTACTATTTGTGTTGGCGGTACCAGATTGCCATCAACCTTAATCCAAAAGATACCGTTATAGTTTGTAAAATGATTTTAATTGGTTTATATTAGAAATCATTTGTTGAAACTAAAGGAAGAAAAGGGATAGCCTTTTTTTTTACACTTTACCTTCACGTAGCTGACTCGTGGGAGATTTCGTATTATATTTCCAAATTGAAATGTCATCGCAAGCAGTGAATTAACACCTAACATTGTTCGTGCTGGAATCGCTTGAGTACCCAAAGCAAATGAAATCCAAGCTAAAATTTGAAAAGTGTAGCACCAGGTGTAAATATATGCTACCAATACTCTTTGTTTTTACAATATCTCTTACATATATTAAATGTTAATACATTGTTGTAGGGCGAAAACATAACTTTTTGGAAATTTACAGGGAATTTTACACTTACATATACATATGGTTAAATATGTTGGTAAATAAGCCTGAAGTATGTACCACCCAGCACGTCTTTTGAAGTGAAATTTCATGGTTAATTCATGCCAGTAACCGGCAGGATAAGGCTGCAACAGTGATAAATGTAAGCTTAATTACTGCAATTCTTAAGTAGTCGTTTGATGGGACTGAAACGTCGGACCAATAGATATCAGTTAATTCGCTTTAACAAATTGTAACCTACTGCTGTTACTCTTAGCTGTTCAATTGACGTTAACTCGTAATCGGCTAATTCCATTTTTTCTCGCATTTTGGATACACCTAACGGAGACCAGCTCATCTGCACCTCATCTGTGTTGTAACTGCAATTTGAGCAATACTTTCTGTTTGAAAATGGAAACTGTAAAATTAAAGGGTTTCAGCGTAACAGACTGTTGAGATAGTAAGATATAATTAATACAAAAAAAGGAGCTACTAACTTGAAACTTTCGAAGGTTAATGCACAGGTGACATTGTCAAAAGGGAAACGTGTAAGATCCATGAGACAAGGGCCTGAAAATGTAGCCTGATGGGATTGAAAATATAAGATGGAAAAGCATATAGATTTGCTGTTAGTCACTGAGTATTATTTGACTGAATCAAAATGAATAATATGACGCTAAAAGAATGTTGGAAAGTTGAAAAATTTACATGAATAAATTTGGATTAACTAATCAAACTCAATATTAGAGAATATCATGACAGTTTTATTATAGAAAATTATGGTCATTGAGCTAATAAGAAAAAGTTATGGAAAAGTAAAAGTGTAAATTAGTTTGGCATTGCTTATGAAATTCATTTTTTGTATAAGATTACCTTGCAATTTTAGCCGATAATTCGTCCAAACTGTACCGTTTGCATATATCATCAAAAATATATTTGGAAATGGGCTTTTATGTATATCAGCAGTTTTGGAATTAATGAAGCATAAATTTGGTGTCCATAATTGTTCCAAAAGTACACTGCTCAACGACAAATTATATTTACATGGCATAAGTTCTGCGTAGGTCAATGCTGGATCTTGCCATGTCTCGCTAATGTATATGTCTAGCTGAAAAGAAGCTATTTTTAGCTTGACTGAAACAGTGAGTAAACCTAAATGAACAGAAAACTGCACTTACATCTAATTGATTGTGTACTTTACGGTACCAAAATTCAATTAAACGAACAATGTTACAACGAAACTTAATTTTTATCTCATCTTTGACAAAAACGCAGCACAACAACAGTACAACAACGATCGGTCATTTAAAAATGTGCAGTGGTTATTGACAAAGTCAACGGAAGTCACCAAATGTATGATAAATTAATAAGCTAAGACCATATTTTAAAAAAATGACAAACAGTAGGTGTACGTACCTGGAAATCTGATGTAATATCGCTAATTGTTGTTATCTCCTGAATCCAAACCTCAACTGTAACATGAACTGGACTGCCTGGTATTTTGTGACGATTATATTTTCTGCCCACAAGTATTTCGTTCAAAATATACGAGTCATTGACGCAAGGTTCTTGTTGTAGACTGCGAAAATAAACATCAGATTGTCGAGTCATATGTCGATGTCTTCCACGATCCTCCGGTGTCCAATTGTATATTCTCGAAATGAATATTGTTTAAAATCTTGTATTGTTGACTAATACGACAGTAGGAAGAACAGTAAAGATTGAAGAAAACTTCTTTTATATACATTTCATTTTTTAGTGTCATCTGTCTTCTCTTTTTGTATCCTCTTCTTTCTTGTTCCTCTTTTTTTTGGAGTTACACTTGATTGGCATCACAATTTGGAGTTACACTTGATTGGCATCAAAAAAAAAAAAAGACACTAACATATTTACGCAACAAATTTACTTCCCTAGTAAAATCAGATTTGCATACTTAATGCGCCTAAATTTTTAGAAAACAGAAAAAATAAAGTTTCTGCGTGTTTTTTCTTGAACAACAGACTTCGTGTGTAAATATGTCAATAAATTAACTGTTATAAAAATTGTTTAGTTTTTTTTTTTCTTGATAATTAAATTTATTCAACACGATTATTGATGTAATGAGTGTATCGACACATTTAGCATTTGTTTGTGAACGTATTTTTTTATTTCTTAGTGTCTGTGTGTTTGCACTAAGATTTTGAGCATTAAGTCACTTTTTTTTGGATTTTTCTAAATTTAATAAATAACACTAATAATAAAAACTGAGGTTTTTTGGTATTGAAAAAGTTAGCTTTTCACGCTTTGGCTAAATTCCATCTACTGTTTATTTTTATACTGCAGTACACTACGATATTTATATATACACTTAATTATTGGTTGGTGGTGAAAAGCAAACGGAGCTAAAACTGATGTCATTTAAGTTCAAGTAAATACTCTTGAAATTCAATTTCGTGAAAAGCTTAAAACGCTTTTGACGTATCAGAATATATACTAGAACTATTTGAGAGTAATCTGAGGAAATCAATTTGTTTCCCATAACGCCAACTTTTCTGCCAGTACTAAAACTATTTTTGTACTTTTATTAGTCTTGTAGAAAAAAATTTCACTTTTTTACTACTTTTTTGTAGCTGAAAACTAAGGGCAAGTAGCCATATCTAAACAGACGGTTTTAGTCAGTAAATATACCAAAAAAATTTAAAAGTATAGCTACTATTAATTATTTTAAGACAAACCGTTATGAATTAAAATAAAAACGACTGTATACCAGGCATCCTAGGCTTTTGATAAATGACAATGATGAAGCCTTTACAACAGTTTTTCACTCTTAGCAAACAATTATCCAAAAAAAATCAATTTTCGAAAAAAGAAGCTGCATAAATATGGTATGATTTCTAAGTCGTTAAAGCAACTGCTGACTAATTAGACCGTTGTTTCTATTAAATTCAGCAAAGCTGAGAACACTATGCTACTGTAGTTCATCAGTTTTATGTTGCACATTGTCATTCAAATAGCAAAAATGTTCAAATAACTACTCCAAAATACTGATAATTAAGTAAATAGCATTAATATGGTATATAATATACTAACAGTACAACGGGTAGGAATTGTAATCAAACTATCAGGCATTGTTTCTGGGTTAAGTGTGGGTCTCGTACAACAATTTTGATGTAAAAAAAGTTCTCTGTAGTTTACAAAATCGGTTTAAGGCTGCTAATACTCAAGCCTAAGCTAAACGTTGCAGATTTTCAGACGTATTTGAATTCACCTATTTGGCTTATCTTAATTTTTCCTTCTGAATGCTAAAATTGCGTACTCTTGAATGCAGAAATCAAAGTTTTTTAGTTGAGAGGTAAAAAAGGCAAGATAAAACTGAGAATCAAACAACACTTCACAAACCTTCTAAGTCTTCTGATATTCTTGGAATTTCTTCTGTATAATGTTTGCCTGCAAACAAACAAGGCTGTAAGATATCGTTTTTTTTCCTGTTTTTAACTCTAATTACCAACAAAAAAGTGATAAGAGTAAAAGTTAAAAACTTGGAAGATAGGTAGAGCAAAAAAACTGTGTTTGAAATTTGTAATAAGAGGTTAAACAGAAAAACAAGAAAAATGCTTAGCATCAACTTTCACTGGTTGCTTCAATACTCTATCACTTTAGCTTCTACTATTTATAGTTATTCAGAACTGTTCTAACTGTTCTAACTGATCCACAAATTATTTTGTCTAATTTCTTAGTTGTTCGCCGAGTTTTACAACAGAGACAATTTTTTCAATAATGCTAGACAATCACGATGTATAGAGGATAGTAAACTATGAAGTTTAAACTTTATTCTATGCGAAGGTTCACTAAAAGAAAGCTAAAAGCTACAGAATGCCACAAAAAACCCCTCTACAGCTGCTCGTTAGATTACACATATTTGTTTGGTTTATACCAGTTATCTAGATAAATAAAAAAATGTCCCGAAGAGCAAAAAATGATTACTGCATTAACCAACAGCATGGTATAACATATTTAAATGGTAAAACAAGTCAAAAATACAGAAGAAAAATCAGAAGGATTTATAGTAACATATAATAAACGCTAATAGAATTGAAAAAGGAAACCGAGTACGATTAGCCATTGTGTTTCATCTGAACCTATGGGCTAGCACCACTGGCTTTCAGAAGCTGGTTTCAGTAATCGACAGCAACAGACCAAATTTGTGTTGGCATGGCTTTAAACAATTATGTATAAAATAAAAGCTGGCCTTAGGTAAATTGAGAAGTCAAAAAAAACTAATTAAATTACTAGCTTTATATATCATTGTTAAACAAAACTGATCTGTCTAAAACTTAAAACACTGCTCTGAATAATGCGTCATCTTTTTTTCCATGTAAGATAGTTCATATATAACAACAATTTTTTGGGGTAGGACTCTCGGGCTTGGAACTCTTATTTTGCATATTTGGTTCATGTGTGAAAGACCACCTGTTCCTTGAGCTAACTCCCTCCTCCCCCTTACCCGTCCCCGTTTTACTCAACCAATCTCTGCTTTCCCCCTTACTCCGTTTCATTCGTAGCTTTTGCTGTTGCATAGGTGAACAAAAAAGTTCTAGCAATAAACTGTCAAAATTAATGGCACTTCAACCCCCTCCTTCCTCGTCCCAACGCGCTCCTCTATTATCAGCCTCCACTTGTCTATTTTATCCTTCTTACCCTCAGCTTCGTCTCCAGGAAGAAAAAATACATAAAACAAATGTCCACTGGCTGGCTTTTGAAGATTCTACTTTCCTGAAACCGGTAACCGTCATAAAATTAAATTATTTCTCTTCTTTCCTTTTTTGGCCTCTTAACTTTTATTTCCAACTTCTATCTTCTGTCCTCGTCTCCACAATCTTTTCGTTCCGGGTTTGGTGATGGGAAGTAGAAAGAAAAAAGCAAAGAAGAAGAAAAACAAATAAACCCTTTCAATCTTAAAATTGTCAAAAGCTTCAAAGAGTCGAAAGTAGCGGAAAGAAAAAGAGCAGATAAGTTTTTGCACAAAAATGTGGAACACAAGCAGCTGAAAGACATTCTTAAGCCATTATCGTGAGACATTAATCTCGCTAAAGACAAATCAAAAAGTGCCGTTATCGACAGAAGAAGAAAAAAGAACTTACTGTAGCTTTTCATAATTTTTCTATTTTTGTGAATTTTTCTGACGCTTCTTATCGTTGCTGTTGTTATTACGTTTCCAACAAGTAAATAAAGGTTATAAATTATGTTTTATTACATTTCTTTTCATCAAAAAGAAAAAGTGGAAAAAATGTCTTCAAGAAATCATTCTATCACTGCTGTTAAAAAAACAACTTAAACTTTCCAGTAATACTGCTTATTTTCAGTTACGTTACAGTTGCAGAGCAAAGAAAAAAAAAAGTATGTTGGTGATTTTGTTGCTGCTGTTCAGTAGAAAAGTCAATATCTTAAAGAAAAAGTTATGTTTGAATGTTATGTAGTGATACAAAAAAAAAAATTAAAAAAAGCTTCTGAATGGTTTGCTAAAAAATATATATTTGTATAATTACAATTTGCCGAAACAGATAATTCGCTCAATTAGTTGGGATAACTCGAGACGACGAAGAAGGAAACAGGAAAAGAGTATGCAGAATGATGTAGCAAAAAAAGCGACAAAAAACAAAAAAAAATTGTATTTTTAAAGTTGTTGTTAGCATAAAACGAAATTTGGAAAAAAATAAAGCAAAAAAAAATTTTCGAAGTTTTTTTTAATTTTCAAATAAAATAATTGGTTACTGGGCAGTTTGTAATACAAAAAAAACTGAAAATTTAGTTTAAGCGCTAAACGTATCACACAATCAATTCTCAGTCTAAGTTTAGTTTTTGTTGTTTCTTCTACTCTTCTTTTCCTTCTTCTGCTCTTCAACTATTCATTGTAACGGTTTGGCAATGTTCGATAAATGTTGATTGATTACGGTTGTTATCAAGATTATTCAAAATTTGTCTGCTTTTTTTTGTGGCACGAAACATCAGAATATTTATTCGATTTCAAAAATTTTTCTAAGCGACAGAAAAGGAAAAGAAGAGAAGAAAAAGGGCAGACAAATATAGAAAGCCTTATGGCAAGTAAAAAAAGTTTAGCTTAAACTTTGTGAATACTTTGCTTGTCTATAAATATTATACTTTTTTTGTGATTATTTTATTTATCTTTACTAAGCATCTAATTTATCGCTGTCATTATTTCAGTCTTTTTTAATTGTTATCCTCGAAATGTCAAGAGGAAAGAACGAATATACTGGGAAAAGAGGCTAGAAGTGATTAAGAGAGTTATTCTAACTAGAGAATTTGAAAAGCTGTCTTTTTCTGGCTCTAGAAAAAAGCAGGTCGAAATAATCGGTAAAAAATATAAAAAAAAAGTAAAAAAAATGTGTAAAATTTTTCAGACTGTTATATTGGTACGCTAAAGCAATAATAGATTATCTGACAGAGGAGCTCTGACAGCTATCTGTTAAAGCTGTTGTAGCTTCATAAAGTTAAAATGACTTTAAATTTTTCACCTATATCGTTGAAATCTCTTTAAAAAGTGAGACTAAAATATTACTTTCAGAAGATAAAGAAAACTCAAAAATAAAAAAGAAGTCTTCTTGAACAAAAGGGAGATGGAGAAGAGATGGAAGGGAGAGGGAGATAAGAGTGTAAAAAGTCATTTGATTATTTTCTTCCATCACTTCAACCGATTCAGTGACAAAAGTGATACATTGCCTAACATTACTGCAAGAAGCTCTATGAAAATCAAGAAAAAAGTTGCCT